TCAGGCTCACATGTGTCTGTGAAGAGTGACGAGTCAAAGGAAGAAGGACCATACTTCAGTGAAGAAACAACACGAAGCAAACGGTATTTGATGTGTTTCTTATTTTTCTTTAAACATAGACTGTGTCAGAAAGTGTATCAGCGAATAATTATCATAAAACTTATAGTCCATAAATTTTTCACAGTATTGTTTTTCTCTTTGCTAAAAATGTTTACAAGATATTTTGGTCATATTTGTCCTAAAAATGCAGTATTTTGATGTATTTTATTTACTATCAGGCTTCAGTATGAAACATTAGATCCAGATTTACAGTCTCACAGGAACCACAATAATTTTACAGACAGTCTCCTGCAGATCTTCCAGGTAATAAAACACATTTTGAGGAATATTTAATAATTATAATAAACAAATATGTTATTAAATAAGAGTGTGACATACATTTTATTTCTCGTTTTCTTTTTAAGAACCTATTTTAATTAATATTTACAGCTAATTAATATTTGTCTCAACTTTATTTTTTATGAATATTTGTCAATACTGAATAAATAATTTTTACCAAATATATATGAAGATTTTTTTCTGACATTCATTTTTGTCTTGCTTTGCAGGAACTTGAGAGCAAAATTATCACATTTTTAAAGAAAGAACTGGAAAAGTTTAAGAAAATATTACAAAAAGAGAACTTACAAAAGAACTGGAAAAGTTTAAGAAAATATTACAAAAAGAGAACATGCAATACTTTGTGAAGGAGTTTAATGAGAACAGATGCAGTAACAAAGAAGCAGCTCTTGATCTCACGCTCTGCTTCCTGAGAGAGATGAAGCAAGATGAAGCTGCTGATACTCTAGAAGGTAAGAGACTCGTGATCATCTGTCAGACTGTCACTTATAAATGTAGGAGAGAAAATAAGATTAAAAATAACTGTATTTTTGTTTCTGTTTAGATGAGCTGTTCTTCAATCATCAGCTAAAATGTAGCCTAAAGAAGAAGTATGAATGTGTGTTTGAAGGAATTGCAAAGCAAGGTGACTCTACACTTCTGAAGAACATCTACACAGATCTCTATATCACTCAGGGTTGTAGTGAACAGGTCAATACTGAACATGAGGTGAGACAGATTGAAGTTGCTTCCAGACGTCATGAATCACAGGAGATACAGGTTGAGTGCACAAATGTGTTTGAAGCACCTGAACAAGACGAGCAGATCAGAACTGTACTGACAAAAGGAGTTGCTGGCATTGGAAAATCAGTCTCTGTGCAGAAGTTTGTTCTGGATTGGGCCGAAAGAAAAGAAAATCAAGATATCAGCTTCATATTTCCTCTTCCATTCA